ATATTAGCCCGGTTCTGTCAACACTGCACTGGCTCCCTATTAAACATCGTACAGATTTTAAAATCCTGCTAATTACTTATAAAGCCCTGAATGGTTTAGCACCTCAGTACTTGAGCTGCGCTCTCAAAACTCTGGCAATTTGATAATGCCTAGAATATCAAAATCAACTGCGGGCGGCAGATCCTTTTCCTATTTAACGCCCAAACTCTGGAATAATCTACCTAACACTGTTCGGGAGGCAGACACACTCTGTCAGTTTAAATCTAGATTAAAGACCCATCTATTTAACCTGGCTTACACATAACACACTAACACATTTCTATTACTCAAACCCGTTAAAGGATTTTTAGGCTGCATTAATTAGGTCAACGGGAACTGGGAACATTTCCAATAACACACAATGTACTTGTTAAATCGTAAGAAGAATGGCATCTACGCTAATATTAGTCTGTTCCTTTCTTATTCCGAGGTCACTGTAGCCACCAGATCCAGTCTGTATCCAGATCAGATGGTCACTGCAGTCACCCGGATCCAGTACGCATCCAGCCCAGATGGTGGATCAGGACCTAGAGACGACCTCTACAGCCCTGAATGTCAGCGGAGATCAGGACAACTAGATGAGCCCCAGAGACAGATCCCCAGTAATGTGGTCTAGAGAGGTCCCAAAATGACCACAAGACTCCAACTTAGACTATTCATCAACAATCTGAAGGATCAAAGGATCCTCAAATGCAAACTGTGTGTGTTGCATCAAGAGAGAAATAATACATGTTGTTTTTATTTTCTTGTTTTTATTCATTTATAATCGTTAGTCATTAGCCATTTATATAATTTAATCATTTGATTTAATTAGGTCAACCGGAACCGGGAACACTTCTCATAACACCCGATGTACTTGCTACATCGTTAGAAGAATGGCATCTATGCTAATATTAGTCTGTTTCTTTCTTATTCCGAGGTCACTGTAGCCACCAGATCCAGTCTGTATCCAGATCAGATGGTCACTGCAGTCACCCGGATCCAGTACGTATCCAGCCCAGATGGTGGATCAGCACCTAGAGATGACCTCGGCAGCCCTGAATGTCAGCGGAGACCAGAGCAACTAGATGAGCCCCAGAGACAGATCCCTAGTGAAGACTTTGTCTCCTATACGGTCATTGGGACAAGACCACAGGAACCAGATGAGTCCTCCGCACAATCTAACTTTGCTGCAGCATGGATCAACTTGCTGGTTCGTCTGGCCAGAGGAGAACTGGCCCCCCGACTGAGCCTGGTTTCTCCAAAGGTTTTTTCTCCATTCTGTCACCGATGGAGTTTTGGTTCCTTGCCGCTGTCGCCTCTGGCTTGCTTAGCTGGGGACACTTAATTTCCAGCGATATCGTCGGCTTGATTGCACAGACACTATTTAAACTGAACTGAGCTGGACTATGACATCACTGAATTCAATGATGAACTGCATTTAACTGAAAATTGAGTGTCTACTATTGTCCTTTTGCATTGACACACTATTTTGCTATTTGATACTGTAAAGCTGCTTTGGCACAATCTGTATTGTTAAAAGCGCTATATAAATGATGGTGACTTGACGGCTCCAGACTGGATCATAATACAAATAATTCCCTTATTAGGCCTACTTTTTAAAGTCTTCTACAAAATGTATTGAAATTAGAATATGAAATCTATTCAGAAAATTCTAATATTAGAACAGAACTACACATTCTTTAGGCAGTAACGTTGTTTCAAAACATAACAGTTTATGGTAACACCCTTAACTGTAAAATGATCATTTTAACTAATTTTACAGTTCAAATAGTACAAGACAAAAATAGACAAAAAGTACATAAACAAACCTCACATTTTAACTTTAAACCATTTTCTAAGAGAAGGAAAAATTCGAAATTATTGTTTTATACGGTATATAATTGGTCTGACTTGGATAAGAACTAGGGTTTGACGATGTCTACAAAACTGGCATCGGACGATGTCTACAGTGAAACATTGCGATGGACGATGACATCGTGCGGGGTGGGGTAAGTTAGGGGGTGTGCCCGAAGCGTGAATCCTTATAATGCACGGAAAACAAATAACGATTCCTAACACCGTGTCTACACCAGACGCAAGCGGCACAACAAAATAATATAGAACCACTGATCTATAATAGAGATTCATTATATATAGATCAGATTATAGAACTCATTATAATCAGTGATGCTGTCAATACTGGATGCGGCGTGGCACGTCACGACAAATCCCCAACAGTAAACTGCTGCAGCGTTCTATTTATGACGTGCTGACACAAATTTCAAATGATTTTCAACAGTCGCTTTGTCGCATCCAGTGTAGACAGACTTTAGCTGATGCGGAGCGGAGGGCGCGACACGACAACTGTTTCGTCCGGTGTAAACACGGTGTAACGGTTGCCTATTACATTACAATACATAAAATTTCACTTACCACATAAACAAGAGTAAGGAGAGATGACTGAGGACGATGGCGAATGATTTGCAGATCCTCAGCACCACTGAAAAACATATAGGGCGAATTCCAAACGGAAGTGAGCATATGCCCTAATCCCTTCGAAGGGCAGAGCCCTTTGAAGTGTGTTCTTTTAAGGGTGTAAGGAAATGACTGACCAAATGTTACCTTGACAATGCTGTGCGTGTGTGTAGAATTCTGCACTCCATCAATTGTTTCAAATAAATATTTCTGCTCATTATTATCATTTTTTTTAAATATTGTCTCAGTCTTATTTACTATTAAACTTTTTCAAACTAAACATGCTTAAACTTGCTTACACTACCGTCTTAATATATCTATCACTGACGAACAATATTTTGTATCACATTAAAATAAAGACAAATTTAATCAGTCTATTCTACTTACGTTTGTATGTGAAGTCGAAATCAACCCCAACTTTGCTTTAAAATGCATCACATGATCACAAACGGAAATCACTTCCGTGAAGTGACCATCGCATGTTCCCTTCGCTAACAGACTTCTGGAAGGGCCCTTCATGAAGGGATTCAGTTGATCACTTTCGTTTGGAACGACCCTATAATCTTGTAAAATGTGTGGTAAGTGTGGTTTTACAATCTGAGGGATGTTTTACATGAAGTTTAACATTTATGATATATAAACAGACATAGCCATCCATAGAACCATATCTTTAAGCTAAAAGTATATGTGCACTAATGTATATGTGCACATAATCTGCACTACCGGTCAAAAGCTCATTAAGAATCCACCTTTTTCTTCAATGCGGAAGTAAGCCTATGGGTGAGACTTCCGGTTTATTACCCGCTATAAGTAAATAACGAGGAGAATAACAACGTGCAGTAAATGGTAAAACTGTTTGCACTACAAACCACTGTGTTCATAATACAAATGGCTGCGCCCATTTTTACGACAAGAAAAGGGTGGATAGGAATACATTTTTTTGTGTGTTTGAAATAAGTATCTATGTGAATATATTTAAGTGTAGATTTTTCATGTCATGGCAAAGCTGAATTTTCAGCATCATTACTCCAGTCATAAGTGTCACACTTCAGAAACCATTCTAATATGCTGATTTGGCTCTCAATTATTATTAGTGCTCAATTATTAATAATGGTACTCCGGAAACCATTTTTCCAGTATCCTTTAATGCATCACATGATCACAAACGGAAATCACTTCCGTGAAGTGACCATCGCATGTTCCCTTCGCTAACAGACTTCTGGAAGGGCCCTTCGTTAAGGGATTCAGTTGATCACTTTCGTTTGGAACGACCCTATAATCTTGTAAAATGTGTGGTAAGTACTGCCGCTCCATAGTATAAACCGAGTACGTGCAATCGCGAATCTCGAAAGTGAAAGTGAAACTAAAATGTTCGTGCATACAAAAGAAGTTTCCATGGCAGGTATAATAGTGGCTCCCTGATGCCCGAAATATATATGTAGTAGGCCTATCATTACCCAATGATATAACTGCGAGGGAAAATATTGAAATATATATATTTTCCTCCCATCTCGTATTAATTCCCTTTAGGGGTTTCGTGTACACGTCATTTTCTTTCCGAACACGGTATTGGGATGCGGCGGATTCCGGGGGGGCGGGGGAATCACAATAGATGGCATCGTCTATCGGCCCAACCCTAATAAGAACAAAACTTGCACTGAATTGAGATGGATGATGAAACTACTGTCTTCTGTAAAAGACAATTTTTAACAAAATCGAATGAGTTTCAAAACTGACAGTTCCGAAACATTGCTGTTGATCTAAATTGAATCAACATTGAACGGAGTCGAGCAGAATAACGACATCATTGCCTTCTATAGAGCTGCTAAAAGCTTAATTGAATGTTTCATAATTGATGAACTTTACACAGTAATTGAACAGCTATTGAACTGAATCAACACTGAACTGCCTGCAGCTGAATAATGACTTTTTAGAGCTGCTTTACAGCATCATTTGGATTTGTCTCATATGTAATGAAGTTTGCATCATTGATTCTTTTATTCTCCAGTTTATTACAGTGAAGCTGCTTTGAAAAATGCATATTCATTCTCTGACAGTAGGTGAAGCATATGGGAACGCAGAAATACAGCAGGTACCCCGGTACATAAAGCAGTGCTGCATTGTATTAGGCATTATACAGTAGTTATGAAGAAGAAAATAAAAAAGCCATTGAAATGGCCATGTGTAGGACTTTATATGAATGTATCTCTGAAGAGAACCGACTGTCTTCAGAAAAGTTTCAATGTCAGAATGGCAGATTTTGGCAAAAGCCGATGAGTTTGCAGGTATGAAATGAGATGGCTAGAGGAAGTACTCACTGATCGAGATCGGGAACGTTTTCTGTGGTGTTTCTTGGATTTCTTCGAGTGTTTTTTAGTCTTTGAATGATGATGTTGACACTCGTGCTGTAGAGAGAGATCACAGACATGACCACTGCATTACTGAATACCTGATTCTGATCAGCTGAAAGGCTTTCCAAGTTTAATTTACTTTTAAAAGAGTTTAGATACAAAAACTTTGCAGGTCACAAGACAAACTGTGGTACATGTGGTATAAAAGGAAAAATTCTGAAATGTCGAATTACTGAACATGAATACACACCCAGCCCTGAATCAATTATTTTAAATATGAAACTGGGCTGCGTTTCTCAAAAGCATCGTAAGCCCAAGTTGATGGTAGCTCCATTGGTTTCAATGGGTCTACTACAGTGTTAATTTTGACAGGCATTTTTGATTTAGTCTTAGTCTTTATCTTGAGACGAAAATGCTTAATAGTCTTAGTCACATTTTAGTCATTTGAGTCTTTCATAGTTTTAGTCGACGAAAAGTCATTACATTTGTCAACTTTTAGTCAAACTGCAGTTACCAACATTTATTTTGGTAGCTATTTTATATGTAGTCTTCAAACAAAAATAGTCATTAATTCTTCTCTCTTTAGACCAAATCAATTAAGCTTATGAGAAATTTGAATCAAGGATTGGAAAAACTTGAATAAATTATGACAATTTTAATTTTTGTGTGAACTATCCTTTAAACAGTAGTGAAAAGGGAGCAATGTATACAAATTATAGTTGTTCATATATAATATATATAATTTATAATATTTATAATTTTTGAAAAAGAAGCAGAATAAGGCAATAAGACAAATACGAAAGAGATACAAATTAAACTCATTTTTCAGATACAGTAGGTTTACTTAACATATTTATTTAACATCTTTTGTTGGTTAACATTAATGACATGGATAGGTACTTAATTAGGAATGCTGTCCCTTTAAGACGGAAGGCATGCATGTAATACTAACACGCGTCCAGTTTTCATCCACCTGTTTACGTTCACTTAATCCATAACCGACTGTATGTAGATGCTCTACACCATAGACATTTGGACTGCTGTGCGTATTTGAGCGCTGAGAACTGATCGTGCGCTGTATATGAGAACTGAAGAAGTGGAGCGTGCGCGAGAGAGAGCACTTCTATCAGTGACCAACACACATCATTCACACCAGATCAGTAGAAGAAGATAACACGTCATAAGGACCCAGTCTAGTTAATAGTCATTATATAGTCATTGATATTTATTGTAATAGCATGACATACTCCCTCCCAAGTGGCCTCAGGCTCCAGAGGAGGCGTGGCCTGTTTCAGCATGCTCTTAAACACCGCCTCCTTCCTCTTCATCTTCCTGGCCTCCTCCTTCTCTCTCTCCCTCTCACGTGCTTCAGCTTTCTCCAGCAACTAAAAAACACAGAATCAGCACAAAGACATCAAACACAAGTCATTAATCAGTAAATACAAACTAACACACTTGTGCTCCGCTCCAAACTCTAGTAAGCTGACTATCAATTCTAAAGTCTACTAAAGTAAAGACAGAATTCAAGCTGAAATGTGATAAGCAACTGATCTGAATGGTTATACAAAAGCAGTATCTCACACGGACAAACTGCATGCAAGTGCGTTACACAATGGAACTAAAACAGCCAAACTAAACAGGTCTGCAAATATAAAATCAGCTTAACAGAACCAGACCGAATCCGCTACCCACTCACTGTTGACAACTGGGGATTTCAACAGAAGGCCTTAAAAATAAGTTGTTTTATATCCCATTAACTGATATAGTTTTAACTAGTTTTGCATTTGTACTTCCTCCTCTAATTTCCTTTTGACTGATTTTAATTCTACTGCTCCTTTGTTTTCGACTTTCAGTTTTACAATCTGAGGTATGTTTTACATGAAGTTTAACATTTATGATATATAAACAGACATAGCCATCCATAGAACCATATCTTTAAGCTAAAAGTACAGTGGTGTGAAAAGGTGTTGGCCCCCTTCCTGATTTCTTATTTTTTTGCATGTTTGTCACACTTTAATGTTTCAGATCATCAAACAAATTTAGCTTTTGAGGATCTTTTGGTCTACTTCACTTTGTCAGGCAGGTCCTATTTAGGAGATTTCTTGATTGCGAACAGGTGTGGCAGTAATCAGGCCTGGGTGTGGCTAGAGAAATTGAACTCAGGTGTGATAAACCACAGTTTTAACAGGGGGGCAAACACTTCTTCACACAGGGCCATTTAGTTTTGGATTTTGTTTTCCCTTAATAATAAAAACCTTCATTTAAAAACTGCATGTTGTGTTTACTTGTGTTATCTTTGACTAATATTTAAATTTGTTTGATGATCTGAAACATTAAAGTGTGACAAACATGCAAAAAAATAAGGAATCAGGAAGGGGGCCAACACTTTTTCACACCACTGTATATGTGCACATAATCTGCACTACCGGTCAAAAGCTCATTAAGAATCCACCTTTTTCTTCAACGCGGAAGTAAGCCTATGGGCGAGACTTCCGGTTCATTAGCCGCTATAAGTAAATAACGAGGAGAATAATACGTGGATAATAATGTGGATAGGAATACGTTTTTTTTAATGTGTTTGAAATAAGTATCTATGTGAATATATTTAAGTGTAGATTTTTCATGTCATGGCAAAGCTGAATTTTCAGCATCATTACTCCAGTCATAAGTGTCACACTTCAGAAACCATTCTAATATGCTGATTTGGTTCTCAATTATTATTAGTGCTCAATTGTTAATAACGGTACTCCGTAAACCAATTTTTTCAGTATCCTTTAATGAAAAGAAAGTTCAAAAGAATAGCATTTATTTGAAAAATATTTTGTAACATTATGCATGTATTTACTGTCACTTTCTATTACTGCACACTTGCCGAATAAAAGTATTTTTTAATCTAACCCTAACTCTTGAGTAGTGCATTGTAGTGCTGGGCAGTTTTTTTATTTCACGATTTATATCACGGTATTTTTCAAAATTATACCGGTTTCACGGTACATCTAACATGCATCTACACTAAAGATTGTGCGGTTGTTTTGGCTGTATTGCTTTTTTGTCTCATGCAGCGCACTGCCTGCGTCTGAGTAAACTAAAAAAAAAAACAACAAACAAAAAAAAGTGCATGTGATATTAACAGACGAACTATACTCATATTTATAATTCCAAACAATCAGTAAGCGACAGGTGCTAGGAAACGCTGTTTTGTACTTATTTATTGACGAGTCGGCTGCGGTGCTTCTCTGCCGCTCACTGCACAGAACAGACGCC